TTAAATTTATTCATAGCTTGTTATCTGATCGGAATTGTGAATTCAGTTGATGATACGTTGATAGTAATCTCATAGTGACACTTTCGAATGCAGCTTTTCTTTCTTCGAATTCTCGACGATTTGTATTGGAATAAAAAATAACGACATATAGAGGAAAGTTGCATTTATATTTAACTGAGTAAGACTAGGTGTTTGGTCCTACATATTTTCTGGAAAACTTAAATTTGGTAGTAGATCAATGCGTGTACGAGTATTTCAACTGAAACCAGAATTTGTTAAAAAGGCAAAAATAAATCTTCTCTCCAGGATAGATGTTTCTCAAATCGACAAAAATCTCACCATATCAATCATTCTGTTTGTTTCAAAATTTTTGTCCGTTTTTATGAGTCTACTTAAAATTGTTTGCTCAGGATTTGATGAAATTGACGAAGGCCGTTTTGTCTGATCCTGGTTGGCGAAGGTTCTAGCGGTGAGAAAATTATAGAAGTGCTTGAAAAGAGGTATGGAAATTATGGTGGGAGAGGCAGAACTTCGACAATCAATTCATTCAATATTCAACGATAGTTTGTGAAACGTGTGGACGGATGTTGTCGCGGAGCGGCTGCTACTGATGCAATTGTCGGTACATTTCATCGATTTACTCACAATAGGTCCACCATACAGTAACCATGTTTTGGTGAGTTTTCGCATTTGGAAAGTATCTAGATGGCTCATCGGTGTCCAATCATTGTCCTGAACGTATCGTGTTGTCGTAGAGGATCCACTTTCAATCTGGTGATGAAAAAGGGTCGTTTTGCACGAAAGCAAATAAGAACAGACCTCGAAACGTGACAATTTCTGTCGATCGTCCAAATTGTGAGGCACCCACTTTTCGAGTTTGTTGACCTTTCCAATACGTTTCAAACCATCCCGTTTTAAGTCGCATGGGAGCTGGCGCTAAGTTTTTTCGTCATCTCTTGCACCGTTTGTGTTAGATAAAGGGTTGACTCTTTTGATCCAACTCACATTCAAAGTTCTCTTTCCTATATACTGTTGGTTGACACTGGAAGTTACAGCATTCTGGAAATGACCTCTGACTCTATGCCTCCAACTGTCAACTACGAACTGCCTCATAAATTACTGTTCTCGAGTAGAGAGGACTGGATCCTCCGGGAGAAGGAAATATTATGAGCAGATAGTTCTTGGTTAACACATAGATCAAAAACACCTTCCGGTTCTGGTACAGGCGTTTTCAGTCCCAGACCCAGGACAGAAATCAACCTGCCTAGGAACCTATGCGACTGTATTTCAAGCGGAAATGTATGCTATTGAATTCCGTGCGGAGAGATTGGAAGAATCCAACCTCATAGAGAAGTCAATAAAAATATTCTTGGACAGTCAAGCGGCGTTGGAAGCTCTTGGCTTCTACGGTGCAACGTCTAAGTGGGTAGCAAATTGACAAAAACGACTCTTCGATAGGAAGACTTAACAGATTGTCTTTGGTCTGGATTCCTGGCCATACTGGCCTGGAAGGCAATGGGGCTAACGACTCCCTTGCTAAGGACGGTGCTGCAAGCAGCTTCATCGGACCAGAATCTGTCATTGACATCGCTTTAGGCTTTGTCAAACACAGATGGAACACCTGGATGGCAAGAAGATTTATGGACTTCTGGCAGAATCTTCCAGGATTGGCTCACTCCAAGGCGTTTACTCACCCTTCGAAGCTTGATACCAAACAGTTGTTGGACTACAGTAGGTATGAACTACGATGTCCAACAGGGCTTATTACAGGTCACTGTCATTTGAATCATCATATGCAGACTCGGACTGTCGGAAGACAGTGTGTGTCACCTCTGTTTGTAAAATGAAGAAACAGCAAAGCACATACTTTGTGCCTGCCTCGATGGGGACCGAATCAGGTTTTAGTTCGGCAGAGCCGTACTTTCACCATCTGACCAGAAGGACCACTCACCATACAAACTAATCGGCTTCGTTAAGAAGCTGGGTTTATTTGGTCGAGTGTGAATAGTTGTGAGCCACAATAAACCCTTGCGGGTTGTGGTGGAGGGTCGAGTTGACCCACTCACTTTGGACCTAATCTAACCTAACCTCTTTCCTAGATGAATTATCTAAAATAAAGCTGATACGTTTAATTGTTTAGGAATCCGCTAATTTTGTATATGACAGTCACTTTCACGAGGAAGGCTATTGTAGGTTATCTGGTATTACACTGGGATTCTTTCATAGTTAACGTCAAATATGGATACAGTAAGTCGGAAGAAAAAGCGATATCGAACTGCTTCATTCGCATGTTCTGGCAAAATGGTTAATTATACGTAAGTACCATGTAGGTACTACAAAGTTACTGATTTTTAGCAGATCTTGCTGTCTCCCCACCTGCGAATTTTCCACAAAGATAAATATTTTATCAGCAACTTGTATTCAATCATTTTGCCATCGAAAAAAGGGTTATACCTACAGATACGTAACGTTTCATTTTTAAATGTTCTTGACAGTTGTCAAAAGATATTTGTAATGTGAAATATATCAATAATGCTTTTCTTTGATATTAGTCTATTGCAATTTCGCAACCATCCAATCTTTCTTCAGGCCAAGTTCGATCCAACGAGCAATATGAAACACACATCCCAGATATAAGCAATCATTCTTGTCCTGTTCCATTCAACTCGATGTTCACTGTCTGATTTTAAAATGTGTTCTGACAAGGTATCATATAAAGGCAGTTTTTTGTTCTTTTTTGTGTTGTTGGGTTTTCTATGTGTGACTATAGTGAATTTGCTGTTTTCTTAGAATTTCTACCATCCAATTCGTCACATCTGTTCAAAAGTCATTCAGTACCGGACAGGCGGTCCCTGATTGAAGACAAATCAAGAATAGTTAATGAGGTCAAGCTGCTCAAAAATAATTCAATGAAAATGAAAAGATGAATAGATGAGTACTTTTCCGATAATCAACAATTTGATTACAATTTAAGATCCACCGGTAGACAAGTAAGTAGTGGCGCCTAGGGTGGCTGAAAAGGTTTTGATTTTTACATAGAAATGTGTCCCTCTGGAAACTGAAGTTTACAGACTCAATATCAAATCACTTTTAAGAGTAGTTTTCGTTTCAAGTGGAATGCACTATACAGATATCGCGCATCTTCGCCTGTTGAACATGGTCTTGTATCGTACCTCCTTCGGTTACATTGCGGAATAATTGATACAGACAGCTATCTCAGACCGTTTCCTGTGGTTCATCTTCATGAAAAAATTATATAGGGTCTTTCAAAAAGGACTTCCAAACTTTGACAATTGATAACAGCCATCTTGTTGACGCTACCTTAATGAAGTCAGTTGTCATTTATTCAGTCTGTTTTACTAAATCACCATGGACGGATACAGCATTCAACAACGCGTTTTGTTCGGGCAACCTATCCCATGCTTAGCCCATTTTACGGCCATAATGGTCTTATCGAGAGGACTATTCGGAATGTGGTGAATAAATTTGAGTCCACTGGTTCAGTAAACGATCGACCAATGCCAGTACGTCAAAGAAATGCAAGATCTGCTGAAAAAATCGGTGTTGTCTGTGAGAGTGTGCAGGAGAATCCGAGGCAGTCGATTTCGCGTCACTCACAAGAACTCGGCCTTTCGCAGACCACAATTTGGCAAATTTTGCGTCATGACTTGGGCCTGTACCCGAACAAAATTCAACTGACCCAGGAACTGACGGTAAGCGACCATAGACAACTCGCTAGATGGGCTCTGGAGCAGTTGACCACTGACCTTTCCCATCGAAAAAGCATCTTCAGTGATGAGGCCCATTTCTGGATGAATGGATATGTCAACAAAGAAAATTGTCGAATTTGGAACGATACCAATCCACATGAGTTCCAAAAACATTAAATGCACCCCGAAAAAGTCACTGCTTCATGTGAATTTTGGGCTGGCGTCGTCATCGGTCCATATTTATTTGAGAACGACGTTGGCTAGGTCATCACTGACAACGGCGAGCACTATAGGTCGATGATTACCAACCTCTTTTGTCCTGAATTGGATTATCTGAACACCAACGACATGTGGTTTCAACAAGACGTGCCACACAGCTCATGCCACGTTGGATATTTTGCACGAGCAATTTGAGGGCATGGTCATCTCACGTCCTCAAAGCCAACATATCCTATGCCATCTGTCAAATTCAGCCTGATTTGTGCCCAAGAATCATGGAAAATTGGACGAATACAAAATTTCGATGATATCTCACACATACTTGTTTTATTTGAATTCATAGATAGGAAGCGCTCAATGAAAGACCCTATATAAAGATATTCATGCCAAAGAACGGATCCAAAAATTCTGGATTCCTGACTGGTATCACGACTTGTCTCGTGGTTTTATTTGTTGGAATATTCAAAACACTGATCTAACATAAAGTATATTTAACCTATTAAAAATTATTTCACCTATTGACAGCTACATTACCATCTAATATAACATGGACTATATTTTATTTGGAAAAATTGAGTGAGATCCACACGAGAGTTGTAGTAGGTACTGAAAGTTAATTATTTGGCGTGTGCGCGAGTGAATCGCTATATATTCCTAACTAATACAAATAACATTGGACGAATCACCAAAATCGCAGTTTCAAACTCAACAAACCGGGATATAAAGCCAGCAAAACCTTGATTTTAATTAATATCGTGTCCCTAATTTTAGATCAATCCTCTCTGGCAAAAGCCACTGTGCGAATTTATCGATCCATGTCGGTTAGAAAGAAATGAAAAACTAAATTACTGGCATTGTGGAAGTTATGTAAGGGCCACGTATCGAAATGAAAGTGATATTTGAAACGAAATGCAATGCCAAATTGCACACAATAAATTGCACAAAGCGAACACTAGGATTTTCCAAGCGTGAACCAAATACTTATAAAATACATTTACTTCACCTCGAAGATTAGTAATACTATTTACATAACAAACCGATTGCTGCCGGGAATTGCCGACAGTTGATTACCTGGTCAACAAAGGAAGAAATGTCAGTTTATCCATACACGAAAACGCACTGAAAAAACAGTTTTTTGGCATCACTCTTTGACGCACTAATATTTAAGTAAACTTTTTTATCAGAGTCTTGTACCTTATGTCACTGTAAGACAAGAAAATTAATGTGCGCAGCGCGATTGAAATTTGAAGTGTCTACGCAACCATTCCCTTAGCTAGTCGCGATCACACTGACAAATGCGTGTTTTGTTATTTCAATCAGCTGATGGTGGGCGAACAGCTGACGGAAGATGTAAATTCATCCATCCCACCTATCACATTTTTGATGAATATATTTGTTATGGGATTTGCGAATTGAATTATAGTTGAGTGAAAAAGTGTTTGATTAGTATCAATGTGTACATTCAAAATGTGTGACTATTTACTGTCTGTGCATTTGTGCGCCTTTGTGCGCGCCAATATCAAAAACGGTTTAGTCGGTTCATGAACAATAAAGTTGGTCATTTTGAAAAATCACGCCAAGCATTTTTGGAATAAAAAACGTGACTGGAATTTTGATTAATTATATTTACAGTTTGTACAATGATTTTATTATAAATGAAAAATGCCGATTACACCTACATAACAATTTTTGCAGTTACAAAATCTGGGAAAACCAAAAATACTGAAATTCACTGCTATTAGTCAGAATATATTGAATGTATTTGAACTGTAGTTTAAAATTTGTATTAATTTTTGTAGAAGTATATACAGGATGTTACCTAACTACGGTACGTAACTTCAGAGGGTGATTCGTTAGGTCGTTTCAAGAAAAAATTTCGCATGAACCAATGTCCGGAGTTGCTTCGTTTCTGAGATACAGGTCGTTGAAGTTTAAAAGAAAACGGTATTTATAAAATATCATAAATAGCCTTACACCGATTTGATTGAAATTTGCTAAAGTTATTCAATCAATCAATCAAACGACGAAAAAGTTGTATTTTCAGTTGCTTCATCTGAAAAAATAAAAAACTACAAGAAAATTCGGTGGCGTTCTTTTTTTTAAATACTGTTGGCTGTGGTCCCCACTGGAACCCCACTGGACGTAATAATTCCAATCTAGTTCAGGCTAAATAGATGATAATATGTTCATAGGAACTTTTTTCTTAAAACGACCTAACAAATAACCCTCTGAAGTTTCGTAATGTATTAAGTAAACAGCCTGTATAATATCTGAATAAATTTCAGAATACTCTGCTCATTTGGACAATATTAAAATTCATACATTTTGCTATTAGGTGTGGAGAATTAAATTATGAGAATGATGACGGGGTATCAGGTTGATTCAAAAGTTTCTCCGTTTTAATGTGTTGTGTTTTTGTAGTTCCATATCAATAAATATTTATTCTACTGTGTCGTAGATAAAGAACTTTGTACTCTTCACATTAAATTAGATTACCGGGGAGCTAGCCCATGGCCTGATTAACTGCGACCTTTTCAGATCTATTGTGATGCTTCTTGGTTGTTGGAGCTCATTGTCTAGCTTGATCTCTTTGATGAGACTCCATAGCCTTGACACTAAGTTCTTCAGATAGCTGTCAGCCTCTGGTTTCTCTTCCCCGCAGTCCTGTTATCGCTTCGCATTCACAGAGCACATATAGTGCGGTTTCTTCCTCTTATCTGGGCGATGGTTTCTTTATAAACCTATTCGCCTGCCTCATTCCTGGGAGCTTATTCCACCAATCTATCGATTCGACTTGCATCCATGAATTTATGGATGTCTTTGCATGCTTTCGCTATCCCGCAGAAGGGTTCTGGGACGATCATAGCCTTGGATGCACCTCATGTCCGGGTACTCAAGATAGAGTGACCCTATTTTGGTTTAGTGCGATTCTCGTCTTTGCTCTGCCACCATATATACCGGCTCCCACTCCTTTTTGAGTCTTTGAGCCATCTATATACCAAGTTTCTTCCGATTTTACCGGTGGGCCGTTTTGCCAGTCCTCTGTACTTGGTATAATGATTTTCAGATTTTTTGAAAGTTTTACTGCGGAACTTTATCCACGGGCATTCCTAGTATTGAATCTGCCTTCAGTTCACTGTACAGTTTCAAGTATTTTGCAACGTGTGACTGTCGATTGGGGTTTGCCTCTGCATTGACCTATGCCTCACCAGGCGAGCGTCTCTTTGTATTTAGATGTGCAATGGTGGGAGTCCGAGTAGAACCTTAAGTGCTGCCGTTGGGGTCGTTATCATGGCTTCCGCAACACTTAGGGACGCCAGTCTTTGTATGCCGCCTAATAGCCTAGCCGTACCTGATTGCCTTGTTCTTGTCCACCAGTAAGTCACTACACCGTATGTTATCATGGATCTCACTACCCATGTATATAACCAGAGTGTCATTTTTGCACATTCTTTTGCAGATTTCCAGGGCTACCCTGGCCTTATCTGCTGTTTTTTAGATGTGAAGATTCTACGTGAGCCTGTGTACTCTATACATTGATGCTGTTCATTTTTTGCATATTTCAATTGTGTGCCTTTTTTTCAGCCAATTTTTCTCTATGAACTGAAATTGAACCAAAGCGCTACCAAAACAGCGTGAAAGATCAACCAGGCATTTGGTATTGATGGTATCATTGAACGCACTGTTCGACGTTGGTTTGCGAAATTTCGTTCCAGAGATTTTTGCCTCGAAGATAAGCCCTGGCGTGGTCGACCCATAGTAATCTACTAGGACAATGATTTGAGGACCCTGGTAAAGACTGACCTATCTCAGATGGTGTGTGGGATGCGAAAGAACTGAGCGTCAGCTCCCATGCATTTTTTGATGGTTTGAAACGTATTGGAAAGGTCAAAAAGCTCAAAAAATGAGTGCCCCACGATTTGAACGATAGACAGAAATTACCACGTTTTGAGGTCTGTTCTTTTTTGATTTTGAGCAACCAAAACGTTTTTTTTTTTCTATCGGATCGTCAGGTGTGATAAAATATGTATCCTCTACGACAACAGAAGACGTTCAGGACGATGGTGGAACGCCGATGAGCCAGCCAGGCACTGAGAAGTGGCTGATCAGTGGCTGGTGTGATTCACCATAACTTTCTGTAACAGGGCCGAACCATCATAGCACAGTTCTACTGTGAGGAAATCGACGAAATGTGCCGAAAATTGCGTCAGTAGAATCCGGCACTGGTCAACAGAAGAGGTCCTATCCTGCTCCACGACAACGCCCTTCCGCATGTTTCACAAATCATAGTCCGGAATTTAAACGAATTGAGCTACCATACTCCCCAGATCTCTCGTCAAGCGACTACCATCTTTTCAAGCACTTCGATAACTTTCTCACCGGTAGAACCTTCACCAATCAGGACCAGGCAAAAACGGCTTTCGTCGACTTCGACTCAATTTTCATGCTGACTGAATAAATCGATTTGTGTTACGTTGGCAAAAGTGCACTGATTCAAATGGCGCTTATTTTGATTGAATTGAATACGTATTCACTGAGATATTACAGTACACTCATAGAAGTTGACAGAACTTGAAACAACCAATAATAGTTTGGAAATTTGCAAGATGAAGTACTCATTCTTCTAATGTTTTCTACTTCTTCAAATCCTTGTAATGCTTTATTTCGACACCATTTCACTTACGCCTTGGCGTCATCCGCAAATGATTATTTCCATACAGATTTGCTATCTGATCTATGTGTGACTGAATAAAGCACACCAATGTTTTAATTTAGAAAAAAATAATTTTCAGTTTTGTCGGAACTGGTGATAGATGAATTATTATTCAGACAAACATATTGTTTATCAATAACATAATTTATTAACAACAAAACAGAATGACAAACAAAACGGAAAAGAGAATTACAGGGTAACCTCGAGAAACTTCTTCTCGATCAGCGAGAAGACTGTAGAGAGGGTTTAGTTCTCGACGGAAACCCCTGAATAAGAAATAGTTCTCGTCGAAATCTCAGAACAGAAGGAATGCCTCGGCTAAAAAATGTGCTCCAAGTAACTCTTGAAAAATTATCACTGGCAAATGGTCGGAGTCATAAATATAGTAAAAAAAGATCAACCACTTGGGCTCGAATTCCTTGTTTTAATCCATAAAAGTGTTAACAATGAGTACCTATTCGAAACATCCCAAGTGGTCTCTGTCATTCTAAATATTCATCTGTTTTTCGGCAATAAACTTTCGTTTCGAGAGAAGAGAGCATTTCAATAATATGTGATAAGAAAATATGAAAATGATAAATAAAAATTAAAATAAAAGAATTATCATAATGACCCAAGCAGGCCGTGTTAGGAATCAAACGTTAAGAGGTAAGACCTCGTTAGTCCTTATTAGCTCGCACAAGTTTCTCAACTTCTGAGAGTTGTCGTTCGTATGGGGGCGACAGCTGATCAACGAAACAGATGGATATTTTAGACGACTGCTCGATAATGCAGTTATGAAAAGTGAATTTTCTAACGCAAATTTATAATACAAAATAAAAATCAATAAAGAAATAAAATGTTTCTAAACTAAGAACTCTTAGTTCATTTGAGTTGAGGTCTTGCTGCTGCCAAAAAGTGCTTGAATCAGTAAGGTTGAATTCATCAAGTTTAAACCTTTTCTGAATTATGACTATTTTATTTGTTACCTATATCAAAAGAATGCTCAAAATCAATGCATTAAATAAAAGTGTAACTGATCGTTGTTTGTGCATGAAAGATATTTGAGAAAAACTATAATTGCGGGTCTTCATCAACGCAACAGTACATAATGATTTTTAGAATGTTTATCTGTGCCAGGGCCGTCTCTAACCTATTGGAGGTCCTGGGCATAATAGGATAATGGGGCCCATATGACTTTGTTGGAATAGACAAAGAAAGTAGATAAACAAGGTTAAATATTTATTTTTATTAACAATCACATGAAACGAATAGATAAATGTAATATAGTCCACAAAAGTTACTTTTTTGGCATTTACAGGTTAGTACTTAAAAATCTATGTTATTTGAAGAGGAACCCCTCTAGATTTCAGATGGGCAAAATCATTAATCACTTCTTCAAAATCTATGCTTTTTAGCACATCAGATTCTATCGACATCAGCGACAAGCTGGTTAATCTCTCTTGAAGCATTGTACTTCTTAATTCATTTTCAATTCTTTTTAATTTGCAGAAGGAGCTTTTCCCACTGCAGTTAGTTGCCATCATGCTTAAAAAGATTCTCAATGCGATTTCTACATTTGGAAATGTGTCTTCAATTTTGTTTTCTTTCAA